TCTCTCTCTCTCTCCCTCTCTCTCTTTCTCCCTCTCTCTCTCTCTCCCTCTCTCTCTCTCTCTCTCTCTCTCTCTCTCTCTCTCTCTCTCTCTCTCTCTCTCTCTCTCTCTCTCTCTCTCTCTCTCTCTCTCTCTTTCTTTCTCTCTTTCTCTCCCTCTCCCTCCCCCCACCACCACCCACCGCCACTGAGATTGGACGCAGTATAAAGGTTCTGGACAGACTGCGGTCCTGTACCCTTGTCATCCTTTTCCAGATCGCGAGCATATCTGCCGAATCCAGAATAGCTTCCAGTCTTATAGAATACAGAATGACGGGAGGATTAAGAATTTCAGATCAGCTCTCCTGAGTGGCGGGGGAAAGAGGCACGTTCTTTGAGGGCCTCATGCGGTACGCTGGCCAGTCTCGGCCATTTGTTCGAGTTTGCGAGTTTATTAGAGAAAGGATATTCTCCAAAAGGCGGCCTGCGTTTGCTAATGGGCAGAAGAGTCGTGCTTTGGTATTCCTCGCCGCTAAAAGCTTGTGATCAGAAAGTCTAAATCCGCACGTGTGTGTGTGTGTGTGTGTGAGAGAGAGAGAGAGAGATGTGTATTTATGTATGTATGTATGTATCTGTGTCCGTATGCATGCGTGTGTGAGAGGGAATGAAAGAAAGGGGGAGATTGTATGTATGCATGTAATTACTTTCTCAGTCTTCCTGTCAGTCTGCGCACCTGCCTACCTATCTCTCTTTATTCCCCCCCGCTGGTTAAACCCTCAGGCTCCTGCTGCTAAAGGTGACAATTCGGTGCCGCTTTCCGTTCGTCCTGCGTGTCTCCCTGTCCTGCGGTTTGCTCGTTCGCCGCCATTATCCTTGTTAACACGTTCTCGCTTTCCTTCCGCCTTTCGCTCTACTTCTCGGTCTCTCATCTTGTAAGCAGCGACGGCCTCCGCGACGCTTTAGTTTCCGGGGCTTAAGCAAGGCCAGTTGGATACGCCTTTTTTTTTTTTTGGGGGGGGGGGTCCTAGTTCCTCTTTCTCTCTCTGTCTCTGTCTCTCTCTTTCTCTCGTCTGTCTCTGTCTTTATCTCTCTCGTCTCTGTCTCTCTTTCTCTCTCTTTCTCTCTCTTTCTCTTTCTCTCTCTTTCTCTTTCTCTCTCTCTTCTCTCTTCTCCCTCTTCTCTCTCTCTCTCTCTCTCTCTCTCTCTCTCTCTCTCTCTCTCTCTCTCTCTCTCTCTCGCTTTCTCTCTTTCTCTCTTTCTCCTCCCCTTTCCCTCTCTCCCCTCCCCATCCCCTATCGCTCTCTACCGCCCTCTGCCTCCCTTTGAAACACTCATTCTCTCTCTCTCACGCAAACACGCTCACGCTCACTCATACTCGCACACTCGTACACTCGCCGAAGCACAAACACACCTCGGTTGTCATCAACAGATCGATGAAGCGACCTCTCCCCATGACACGAATGCATTGAGATGAATTCTGGTCGTGTGACCTTGGCCGTTAAATGATTTCAATTAGATTCACTTGCGCCATTTTCTTTTTTTTTTATGGTCCTCGTAATTGCATTTTTTTTCTCTCTCTCTCTCTTCTCTTTATTAGATTGGTTTGTAATCAAATAACGAATGGAAGGCATTCGTGATTCATAACCATATGGTTTGAGTTTCGTCTTCCTCTGCGTCGTCGTCGTCTTCTTCTTCTTCTTCGTTTGTTTCTTCTCCTTCTTCGTCTTCGTATTCTCATTCTTTATTTTACCCGGTAGTTTTAATGTTTTTTTTTCTCTCTCTCTCATTTTAACTCTTTTGCGTCTTTTTTTCTTCCCCCCCCCCCTCCTCTTTCTCCTCCTCTCTGTCCCCTTCTATTTCTCTTCCTTATTGTCTTCCCCCAGATTCTCCTTCCCCTCCAGCTCCACCTACTCTCTCCCCTCCACTTCCACCTCCAGCTTCCCCTCTCCCTCTCCCTCCTCCTCCGTTTCCTTCTCTTCCTCCTCTTCCTCCTATTCTACCCCCTCCTTCTTCTTCTTCTTCTTCTTCTTCTTCTTCCATGTCTCCTCCTCCTCCTCCTTTTCCTCCTCCTCCTTTCCTCCTCCTCCTCCTCCTCCTCCTCCTCCTCCTCCTCTCCTCCTCCTCCTCCTCCTCCTCCTTATCCCCCTCTTCCTTCACATTCCATCTCCCCACGCCTACTTCCCTTCCTTTAGAAGAAGAAACAATGGAACGAAAATGCAGCGGCGGCGGCGGAACAATACAGTTTTCTTTCGTCTCGTCGTAATATTTTCATAGGCGACGCGGGAAACCAGAAGCGCCCAACCCGCCGCCGCCGAAAGTAGTTCCGTTATTAGTCAATATCGCGGTTCGCCAGGGGAGGGGGGAGGCAGGAGGTGGGGGGGGCGTGGGGGAGTGGTAGAGGACGGGTGGGGGAGGGGGTTGGTTATGAGTGTGTTTGTGTGTTTCTATGTATCGGTATTTCTGTCTGTTTGTGTGTGTCTTTTTATTTTCCTACTTTTTATGTCTGCTTTTTGTGTTTCTAT